CCAGAGAAGGTACAACGGTGACCAGAGGGATGGATCAGCTTCTGTCGGCGTGTAATGATGCATATGATTTGGACCTCTATTTTTAAGCGGTATTATCTCCTCTTCGTGTAAGGTGGGATCAACGGTGAAATTCCATTTCTGCACTGTACGGATTTATTTAATGGCTGCAAATAAGACGAAACTGATTTAGTAGGAACTGATAGCGGACTTGAATCTGAAATTCTCCTATTCCCCTTAAGGAAGTTTGGTCCTTCAGTTTGATAGATCAAATTGGGTATTTTTGGAATGGAATTATATGATTTTCCCCATCTTTTCCTTGAGGTAGCAATTGCGACATTCCTATTTGTGAGAACTGACTTAATATATACATAAGACCATTTTAAACATCTTTATTTTAAATGCATATACACTCCATAAAAAATATATCCAGAAGGTGGCAGCGGACAAGTAGATACGCTCAGGCTCCTCTCCAAGAAAGGTGAGGAAGGGAGAGCACAGTGCCGGTCTATAAACTGCAGAGGGCGAAAAGGAATGAATATTCACTCGTAACACCACCCTTGGAGGTACAGACAGAGAGAAAGCAAACGCCAAAAGGCAATAGTGGAAGAAAACCCCACCAAATGCTGTTAAACACGATGATACAAGCGGCTAAAGGAAGAAATCACCAGCACTGTGGGTCTGGTGCAGTGACCAAGGGGGCCACACACGTGTGCTGGTGTCCCCCCTCCCCTGGGATGCACCGTGGGGACTCTCATCTGACCCTGCACAGTTGCTCCTGCGCTTCTAAACCTCCCAGACACCATCAGAGGTGTTATTCTGGAGGTGGCTTCGGCTGGCCTGAAACAGAGTAGAAACACTTTGCAGGTTGCCTCGCTGCCCCTTCCCGGTGGCCGTGGCCCGAGAGCAGCCGGCTGCTGCCACCTCCCGGGTAGGGGACAGTCCACCAGCCTGTGCGGCACCGGGCACCGCCGCGGACACCGGCGCGGCCAGACGCAGACGTGTCCCAGGCGATGGCTGGAGAAGCGGGGTGAGCTGCGGCCCACCAACAGCCTCCCCGAAGAGCAGCCGGGCACTACCACAGGGGTAACTGGAGAGAGAATTGTCCTGCCGCTTTTCTTCTGTGGCAGAAAGGGGTATTTTCACAGCTGTTGGAGTGAATTGACTCTGTGCCCTCTCCCAATGTTTTTAGCACCATGGTTCTGCTTTTTTGCTACTTAGAAATTCAGTGCCCTCCTGTGCAAAGCCTGGATGCTGCATGCACACCCACCCAGCCCTGCAGGGGAAGCAAGCTAGAAAATAAAAATGGAGCTTTTATCATTAAGCCCTCAATTATAATTTAAGGAGTACTTAAAAAAAAAGCTCATAAGGTACAGGGCCTACAGGACAGCTGGGGAACGACTTTTTACAAGGGCATGTAGTGATAGGATGAGGGGGAATGGCTTCAAACTGGAAGAGGGGAAATCTAGATGAGATCTTAGGAAGAAATTCTTTGCTGTGCAGGCGGTGAGCCCCTGGGGCAGGTTGCCCTGAGAAGCTGTGGCTGCCCCATCCCTGGAGGTGTTCAAGGCCAGGTTGGACGGGGCTTGGAGCAACCTGGGCTGGGGGGAGGTGGCCCTGCCCAGGGCAGGGGGGTGGAACTCGACAATCTTTAAGGTCCCTTCCAACCTAAACCATTCAATGATTGCTGAAAACCATCTATTTGGAGAATTGTGTCAGAGTGTGTGTTGAACATGGAGGGGACTCTGCACACTCGGCTGTTCTCTCAGGACAATGGCTCTGTCCCTTTGCAACCTGGTCTAATACGTGACCCGGTTCTCTTAGTGAGCCTACCACCTTTTGTCAACAGCTATAGTGAAAGTGCAACTGAAATTAGGGATATTGCCATTTGTGAGAGTGTTTCTTGTCCATTTTCCAGGACATCCGGATTATTTGAGAGGTGCCTGAGGACTGGAGAAAGGCTGACATCTCTCCAATCTTCAAAAAAGGAAAGAAGGAGGACGCAGGGAACTACAGACCAGTTAGTCTCACATCGGTCCCTGGGAAGGTAATGGAGCGACTCATTCTGGATGTCCTCTCCAAACACATTGAGGAACGGGGAGTTATTGGAAGTCGTCAACACGGATTTATCAAGGGTAAATCATGTTTGACCAATTTGATGGCCTTCTACGATGATGTAACTGGTTGGCTGGATGGAGGGAGAGCTGTAGATGTCATCTACCTTGACTTTAGCAAGGCTTTTGACACTGTCTCCCATAACATCCTCATTAGGAAGCTGAGGAAGTGTGGGTTGGATGAGGTGACAGTGAGGTGGATTGAGAGCTGGCTGTGTGACAGGACTCAGAGGGTTGTGATCAGTGGCATGAAATCTAGCTGGAGGCCTGTAACCAGTGGTGTCCCCCAGGGGTCAATACT